CTATGCTAGAGTTTTGTCTCTGATCGTTGGTATCTTTGAGTGAAATACATCCAAACTCTGAATCACAATAAAAACCTGCAGCATTATTGAACACATACACTGTGGCTGGACATCTATACAAACCCAACAGAGCTTCTTAGCTCTTCTATTCCACCAGGACTTCGAGAGTTTTAGCAAAGACTGAGATGGCGTTTTCATCATTTTCTTTTTTTACTTTGGTTGGGACCATGTGTAGGCTCCTTCTGGTGTGGAAGCACATTGTTTGCCTACATCTGAAGAGATCGTGGTTTTATGAGGAGGGTAGAAATTGCTGCAAAAAGATTTGCTAATATTTGCACAAAATAACATATTCTCTCCTTTTTCTATTTGAATTACTTCCTTATCCATCATGTCTTAATCATTGTTGTATCTTATGCCTTTTATTTGAGACAAATTAAAAAATTTTTTTAAAGATTGTGTTTATATATTTGAGAGAGAACAAAAGCAAGAGAGATCACAGAGGGAGAGGCAGACTCCTGGCTGAACAGAGAGCCTGATGCAGGGCTCGATCCCAGATCCCTGGGCCAAAGGCAAACGCCTAACCAACTGAGCCACACAGGCACCCCTAAGATATAATATTTTTTTTTTTTTTTTTGCCAGAGGTTTTAGGTTTCTGTCGCCAAGGTCCCTAAGGACAGATTGTGACCAAATACATATTACCACCTAGATTGAAGTGATAGTATGTATTTTTTTCTCTGTATTTTGAATTTTGGTCTAAACCTGATCGAAAGAATGGCTTTGAGATTTGTGTGTGTTCCTCTTCTGAACTTATGTGTTTTACCTATTTATTTTTGTAAACCTTAGGGACAAGTTCAGAATCAGGGAAGACCAATTTGCAAATTCATTATTCACCCCTAATTATGTATACATTTGAATTAAAGACATCTATCTGCCTTCATTTATCTGGACCTGACAATGTGTTTGAATTTCCACAACTATATGTGGATTTTAGAGGTTTACATTTTGCTTTTTGTAGGCTCTGATCAAGATGTAACAAGGTATAGAGTCATAAATAGGCACATAAGAGGAATCTTAGCAGGGGGTTAGTGAATTATTAGCTGACCTCTGTTTCAGCTGGAGCCTACATCTTGACAGTTAATTTTTTTGACAACTAATTTTTATGATACAAAATGGTTCCTCTCTACTCTCATACCTCCATCCCTAGCCCCAGCACTACATGATGGCAGGCACATAACCTCTACCAGTCCTATGCTATTCCAGAAGTAGTTTATTTGCTTTTTCACATCTGGTCTGACTTCATTGCTATTCTTAAGGGGCTTTGTATTGTGACTTTCTCACTTTTAATATGCAATTTCCTTACTAAACTGAAGTTTTGGCTTTTGAAAAAGTAATATAACTGCAATATATTTATGAATGTAGTTTACCTTTGGCTGGAAAGACATTCCTGCCTGTATTCAACATGTTTTCTTTCATATTTCACATTGTTATAAACACTAAAGCCAGGTTAGATTTTTGTTTTAAATTCAATTAGCAAACATAGAGTACATCATTAGTTTCAGATGTAGTGTTCAATAATTTATTAGTTGCATATAACACCCAGTACTCATCACATTGAACTGACACCAATGTCTTTGAGTGTTTGATACTAAAAATGATAAACAGCAAGTCACTGCCCTTAGTAAGGATTTAAAGAAATAAAGATATCAGATCTAAGCCAGGGGTGAAATATTGTGAGTAAATGAGTCTCTTAGATTCAAGTCTTTGGTTGCATTGAGGTAAGAGCAGTGAACATATAAGTTCACATACTTAATCCAAAAAAAACACCTATTTTTAAAATCTTATATAGGGCTGGAATAGGCTTAGTGAGATTGATGTGTAGGCTTATGATCACAGTCCTGGGGATGCTGAGTGAGTTTACCCTTTCCTCTTCCTGGGTTTGGGGGATAATTTATCCATTTAGGCAGTGGGTAAGTTGAAAGTGAGTACTGTCTTTGCAGAGAAGCTTCTAAGACTAAGTTCTCTGCTCTGGCCTGCCTAGATTCATAAGATCTTACAGGTTTCTGTCTCTGGATTCTCTCCTCTCCTTCTGTGTGTGGTGGGGATCCAGGTCTTCCTATGCTGTTCATTTGAAGCAGTCTAATATGGGAAAGAGCACTATACTTGCATTCAGTATAACACATGGATGGCATTCTCCTACTGAAATGTATTTAAAAAAAAAACACAACAAACCTGCATCTCCAAATTGGAAGGTCAGCTACTTGATACTAAAAACTTAAATGAGAGCTGTATATTGAGCTCATTGGGATGATTCTGCTAGATTATAATTCCCCACTGTTCTACTTTAGGTGTGTGACTAAGTGGCCAATAATATCAGTCTGGAGGTCAGCTGGGATTTCCTCTTAATAGCTGGTCAAATGTCCATGGTTCCAAGGTTCAGAGACTAAGTCCTTTATGACTTGGTGCTATAAATTAGGAACAAAAGGAGAGGGATCTCATAGTCTTCTGGACATTTTTTTTCTTTTTTCTGGCTTCCAGGACCCTCTTACTCAGATTTGTAGAAATAGAAGTTAATTATTAAACTATTTCCCAATTTACACCTCCTTAATCTTTACCTCAGAACAAATACACTAATTCTTTAGAGCTATTTCTCGGAAAGTTATGATATGGGCTTCAGGGGAGATGGAGAAGAAAGAACAAAACATCTTTTTTGGAAACCCTGAACATGTGAATTCTGTCCTACTGGAGGGATCTTGGGTGCTTCCTGGGAAAACAGTGGATTTGGATGAAACTGATTGTGGGTGGATCATCTGTACTCTCCCACTGATGTTGGACTCTATACAAAGTAAATGTTTCTTAAGTACATTCCAGCATGTTTTCCTTACTTTCATATTTTCTGTCTCCCAGACATACACATTTGGAATGATGATAGTCTATCAGAGGGCAGTTCTGAAAGAGTTTGCTGGGAAGAGGCAGAGAAAAGGCTTTGACAACTCTTTATTTTGTAGAGGTGGTCATGCAACCCTAATGTGGAACTATGCTGGAATTCACAGAAGTGTTGCCCTATCCATGTAGAAGGCACTTTTCTTATTGGTGAAAATGCTTATTTGTTATTTGGCTTCATATCTGCAAAATTCTGGGTTGTTTTATTCTCAACCACTGAAAAGGAGCATAAAATGGCCATTTTAAAGATCAATTGGCAAGTTGTGTCCCAGTACACTGAAAGGGTCTTAACTTTGATTGGCTTTTCAGTATTTTAAACTATGTCAAAGGCCATTCCCAGAGTTGTGTTGAAATCTGGACTCAGCCAGGATTAGGCCTTGACATCTACTGGCCTCCAATGCCTTTTCTCCAATTGGTGAGGTATACATCCAATTCAACCATTGTTTCTTGAGCCTCCCCTCATATGTGCCCCTTTACCAAAATAACCTCTGATAGATGAGGCAGAACATTGCCTCTTTGCTATGCCATTTACTATTTAAAAACAAGAAGCAAACAAAGAAATACAAGTATATAAGGAAGGTATGTTATATATAGACTATATCAGGCAAAACCCTGAATTTCAGACTTCTTCCCCCAGCAAAAAAGCAATCACAGAATATATTTTCAACATCTTTTGGCATGCTTTTTTTTTTTATTTTTGCAGTCTTTTCTTGTCTCCCCACCTCCTCAGATCCTGCCCTGAGGTTTTCTGTAAATATTAAACTGCTCATATTTTGATGCTCTATATAATGTGATGAAAATTTTGATTAGGTCATCCTCACACAAGAATGTAATATAAATAAAAATGGATCTGGAAGATGAACAATTTTCCAATGGACAAGCAGAAATTAACCCTGGGTCCATGCCTTGATGAAAACCATGTACAAAGCCTCTCCAAGAGTCAAATTAAAGCCTTAACTCTAAATGAACCTGATTTGAGAAGAGGAAAAAATGTCTCAGCAATAATTATGAATTTCAACTGCTGAGATCTTCTATGATAGAGTTAAAGTAATCCATGAAAGATTTCTTTAAGAAATATGACCCTAATGGGGGCGCCTGGGTGGCTCAGTGGGTTAAGCCTCTGCCTTTGGCTCAGGTCATGATCCCAGGGTCCTGGGATTGAGTCCCTCATCAGGCTCTCTGCTCAGCGGGGAGCCTGCTTCCCTCTCTCTCTCTGCCTGCCTCTCTGCCTACTTGTGATCTCTCTCTGTCAAAATAAATAAACAAAATCTTTTAAAAAAAGAAATATGACCCTAACAAAACTGCAGATAAAGATAATAAGGAGGGATGGCTAGTTGAGTATAATTAAATGATGCTCAGCCTATGAGTGAGGTGTGCATAGGGTCAATCAAAGCTTATGGGTCAGATGGAAGGAAAAGATCTCAGTATATGCCTTCTAATGGGAAATCAAGTCATGTAAATAACAGTGAGAAGATTGGCTGGTGGAACTGATGGCCAAAAAGAAGTGAAGTGATTGGGTTTTCAAAAAAAGCACAATACCAATCTAAAATTAAGCATGTCTTATCACTGACAAGTAGGGTGGAAACACGGTTGGCAGGGCTGTTGCTCAAAAGTATGGCCAAGACTTCTCAGATACATTGACTATTGGATTTCCTGCTCTGCCTCTACTCCCTCTTCTGCTGGAACCAGTTTCAAATGCAGCTGATTTTTAGCAGGAGTTGTTGATAAAAATGCTGACTCTCAGCACCTTGACACTCAGGATTAATCTTTTTAAAAATACATTTTTTTTCATCATAATGTGTTTCCTTTTAGGTTTTTAGTTTTGTCAGCAGTGAGAACAACAACAAAAAAAATAATAATAAAAAAGGAGTATACAGGGCGAGATCTACGGCCTTTTAAAAATACAATTCTTCACACCTGTCCCAAAAGGCAATAAAGGACTATCTAAAAGTGCCATTTCCCAAAAGGGCCCATGGGTACCTAAGAAACCAGAACACTGGGGAGTAACAATGATTCCTGGGAAAAGCTGATGTAATCGACATTTTATTCTCTCCAAACAGATCAGAATGAAGGATTTCATTGCAGGGAAGAATGTCGGATTCTTGGCCACTCTGACAGGTGCTGGATGCCCCGGAATCCCATGCCCACCCGCTCCAAGTCCCCTGAGCACATGAGGAATGTCATTGCGCTGTCCATTGAAGCTACTGCTGCTGATATTGAGGCTTATGACGACTGCGGCCCCACCAAGCGGACTTTTGCAACCTTTGGAAAAGATGTCAATGACCCCCCGGCTGAGGAGAGGCCTGCCTTGAAAGGCAGGAGAACTGTCGATGTGACCATCTGCAGCCCCAAGGTCAGTGGTGCTATCCGGGAGGCGGGCAATGGCTGTGAAGCTATTAGCCCTGTCACCTCCCCCCTGCACCTCAAGAGCCCTCTGCCCACCAAGCCCTCCGCGTCTTACACCATTGCCCTGGCACCCCTGGCCCGTGATCTGGAGCAGTATATCAACAATGGCCCATCTCGTCCGTCTGAAGCTGAACCCCGTGGAGCTGACAACGAGAAAGTCATGTATGAGGTCAACCCCACTCTGAAGGAGGGTCCTGACAAAGAGTCTCCTGGTGTGAAGCGTCTGAAGGATATCGTTCTCTAAAGCAGTCTCGGGGAAGAAGAGAGAGAAACCATGCTGGTTATCGAGGAAGCAGGAGCTGATTGTTTTGATTGCTCACCAATGGTTGGTTCTTGAGTGGTTGTTATTTCAGAGCTTTCCCTAAATGTATTGTTTATAAGTGACTGTCATTCTGTGACAATCCCTCTCGTTTCAACAGGCAGCAGGGGTGTTCAGTTGGAGCAAATTAGCTTTGGCTTGGGTTGTTCATGGGGCCTTGATGTTGGGGAAACAGAGACAAATTCAGTTGTGAAAAGTATTATGTATTAAGTGTTTGAATTTATATATTTTTCTATGTCAAAATTATAATATAAATTACCATTGTCTGTGGAGGATTACATTTAAAAACGACAACAACAACAAAAAGAGAAAGCTCTGGACACCTTTAATAAGCTTGCCACTGTTTTGTAGTGTAGACAAGTTAATGGTCATTTATTGTGTACTATTCATTGATTCAGTGATGTGAAATTGAGCCCCCAAAAGGTTGTTTCTGAAGCTTGAGTACTTTCCAGTGCCGCTACTTTGCTGTGGACACCCCTGCTTTAAGAACCCTTTTGCTAGCTGTGCTATTGTTGTATTTGATATTGCAAATTGCTATGTGTGTGGTGATAGCAAAAGGCTTTTAGAAGTTGGTGTTTTTTTTTCTTAAAAAAATAAACTATAGACAAAAACAGAGTGCAAAAAACTGAGATGGCCAGTGAATGAGCGACACCACACATATAGATTGAAAACTTGGAAGATACTCACTCATGGAGGATACCCATGTACTGGTTACTCACCACCTTGCAGAGTATTTCTCCTGCCTTCAGTCTTCTGCCCAGATCAGTGATAGATCATTACAGAAAGTCATTTTTGGATATTCTGCTATCTAATTTGCAGTTGTCAGAACTACTGTGCTGAAAGTTTTATGGCATCAGTCTTTAAAATTTTCAGGCCCTGAATGGGAAAGTTGCTCCTGAAGTTATCAGTTTCCAGGCTTAGAAATTCCCTGTCTCCAATCATCTAAAACTCAAAAAGACTGAATCTATTTTGAGATCTAAATTAGCATCTTTTCCGACACACACTTCCTGATTCATTGTTTCCCAACTATGATTTGAATTAGACTGCAAAGCATATTGGGGGCTGGAATTGAGAACTCCATGTTGCTCTGTATTGTAGGATAATAAATAGGAATAGAGTAAGCAGTACAAAGTGTACATTTAGGAAAAGATAGGTGACCAGTAACAGCATCACTAATCCAATTATTGTGCCTTCTAAATGGAGACACTTGGACACTTGAACTCATCTTTTTATGACTAATACTTCTTTTTAAAATTAAAAATGTGAACAGGAAACTATTGAAAATCCTTTAGATTTAGCTAACTCTTTGCTGTAGGCTAAAAATATACCTTTTATTACTAACAAATTTGTTACTCACATTCTTTTTTTGTTTAACATTTCTCTAACTCCCCCATTTAATGTTTATTAATATTTAGTAGCCAACATAGTATTCTTGCAGCCTAAGAGTTCATTTTTTAAAACTAAACAGATATGTCACATTTACTCTGCCTTAGTCTTAAAGTTGTTTCTAGAGCAACAAGTGTGGTTCTGTTCTCATTTGTTTCACTTTTTGAAATTCAAGAGTACCCAGAAAAAAGGCCTAGAGGTAAGAGCATGAAAATGCAAAAAAGGATTTATTTTCTTAAGTTTAGTTAGATAAGTGAGCTCTTTTAAATGTTTTAGTTACTTTTGTCTGAGTTCCTGGCTTTATACATTACTAGGAATATTTTCCTTTATGGGAAGGAGGGTTTTGAGGGAGGTTGGTAGATAAGGCAGTAGGGATGGGGTTAGGTAGGGGAGAATATTTCTGAAAAAGAACCTATAATGAAGCTATAAATTCATCCTTATTTCTTATTCTGTGCTGAATACTACCTCATGCAAAATACTGGTGTGGCTGCAAATACCCCTTGAGACTGATGTAATTAGAGATTAATTACCATAACATTTTCATTTTGGCTCATTTCATTAGCTCTCATATACTTTTTTCCCTCTCTGATTCATTTCATTTTAGCAGATTTTGAATTAGGTATTTATTTGTATTTTCAAGTGACTATTTGATAAACACATTAAAAATTATTTTTTTCCTATAAGTTATGATGGCTGCCTATAGAATTTAGACTGTTCTTCACCTGATCCATCCTGATACTGTGTTGTTAGCTACCACACCAAGGTCACTTTCGAGTTAGATTTGACAGTTTTTGTACAGGTGTATTTCCTACTATGCTCAGAGAGAATGAGGGAGCTGAGAAGATTGTGGCAAGCAGGAATGTTAAATATTATATGGCTGTTGAGCCAGAGAGGGCACTGACTGCCATGTCTCTTACCAGCCAGGTTGAAAATGGTTAGAGTAGCAGTGGCATTGATTTTAATATTTTCCCCCATTTTTTTCAGAACTCAGTTTCAAGCTACAGACCAATCCTTTTTTTTTTTTTTATCAAAATACTTTTTTTCTCAGTGGGAAATCAGAGATTTTTTTGGCTCCTAAACCCTTTATTGAGCATGTTCAGAGAATTCCCCTCTAAGGAAAGTATCTTTTTTCCCTCTTTCTACAACTGTCTGATGTATACACACTCCCAGAAGCACAAGTGCATCCTAGGAGGGACTTGTAAGCTAGTTTTATAGACAAGATATGCTGCAATCAGGAATTCTGTGCAAGGATCCTAGATTTCCTTTTGGCTCATGTTTTTCCCTTCTTCTTTTCAATATGGCCGATGAAAAGCCACATAAGGCCAGAAAACCAAATATTCTTCCTTTTCCCCTCTCTAAACATGTTACACATTTCAATGTAAGGGAGCAGTTTCAGTTCCTAAATTCTAGGGAGTTCTATTCCATCTATTCTGATGTCCCTTTTGGGAAGGTGTTGGTGTTGAGGCATGACTTGCTTTTCTAAACAGCTGCATTGGGCACATCCTTGAGCAGGTAAACTTTTTCATGCAATATAAAGGCTTTAGTTTGCATTGATTGCTTTTTTCCAAGTATGGGAATATGCTATATACAAAGAATAGGAAGAAGAAGAGAGCCACGCTGTGTGGAATCTCTTATTTTCTGTTCTATTGACTGATCTTTGACCCTGTTCAGAATGAAACTCTCTTTGATCCTCTTAAAGCCAGTAGAGTAAATTGTGGTCCACCTCATTGTCCAAATAGGTAATAGGCCAAGGGATCCTGCAGTTCTTAAAAGGCAGTTGTTCTTGAAGTATAGTCTTTGAATCAGCAACAACCACATCACCCGGGAACTTCTCAGAAATGATAATTCTCTGCTCTCACCCAGACCAACTGAAGCAAAAGTTCTGGCAGTGAGGCCTAGTAATTCATATGGATCAGATGCCCTCTAAAGGTTGAGGGCTTGTTAAAACACAGGTTGATGGACCCCACAGTTAGAGTTTCAGTTCCAGTCCACAGTTCCAGTTTCAGTTCAGTTCAGTGGGCCTGGGGTCTCCTGGGTCTCTGCCTGGTTAAGAATTCCAAGGTGATGCTGCTGCTGATGATCCAGGGACCCTACTTTGAGTATCACTGCTCCAGAGTAAACCTGCCTAATAGAGCTAATTGCATGTAAGCTGCCCATTTAAGCTCATTTGTTGACATGGTGACCCGCTGATCATGAATCAAAACTGTTAAGGGGTATACAATGTAGAACTATGAAAATTAGCAACACCCAGTGTATCATCCTGATAGTGTTCCTTCAGTATACAACTGACTGTATGATGGGAATTCAGTTGAACTTTTCATATTGTTCTTTTGTATCATTGACAAGCAAGAGAAAAGTGGTCCACTTGAGGCAGCAAGGACAAAGGGCAGTTTGGGGAGAGGCAGGGGGTTTAGGGGATAGCTCAATTGGGCATCCAGGGTGGGAAAAGGATTATTATTGTACATAATAGGAGTTCTAGTTGGAATGTCAAATTTAGTCTATGGGGATCATTTTGATGTTGAATGTTCCCCAAAGCATCCTGGCAAGTCTGGTCCACTTGGCTCTTTACCCAGGGTAATAAGACCCTAACTGACTTTGAAAACCTGGCATACATGAGCTTAAGAAGTTGTATACAGTCCTAGTGTTTGCCTTCTCAGTAAAATTACATTTAAGGATGTCATTTCATGAGTCAAATTGTATCTGCTAACGCTGAAGTGTATTGAGATGTTGTTCTTTAGTTTAAGTATGTAACCAAGTAATATTCAAAGGGGATGTGTTGGGGGTGGGGCTGGGACTGGGTGGCTTTATATTGATAATGAAATATTCCAGAGCAAAACACATTGTCCTAATGAAGTTGTTGCAGCTCTCTTTGTTTTCTTGTGAGGCTGGAATTGGCCTGTGGGTCACTTGTGCAAAAGTGAGTTAATTTCACATAGAACTCATATTGCTTTTGTAAAACAAAGAAAATCAACCACCTTGTCTGAAATGTGTATCGCAAGGCGCTCTTGGTAAAGAACAACCCACGAAAACCTGATCTTGATTGGAAAGCACTGTAGGTCATTAGGGAAAACTGATGATGCTGATTGTTGCTCCAGCTGTGTTGGCAATTAAAGATGACCTTGTTACTAACTGAAAGTTGCTGTCAACCTTAGCAAACAAACCAGCTAACACCATTACAGCACTGGTTAAGTAGATTTTTACTGGCACTGGCTGGCGTTCAGCTGAGAAAGGCTAGGATACAAACTTTAATGACCAAGAGCCAGACTAGCTCAAGCTAGATATTCAGCAACAAATACCTCCTTGTGTTTTTTGAATGCTAAGGTATTGGTTGCAAAAGGCTTATGCCTTCACCCCTCTAGTGAGGGGAATGAGCCTGATGACGCTATTACTGTTTACCTGTCAAACCAGGGTGGAAATTTAGAGGGATGCAAGTGCAGTATGTCTCATTAAGCAGTCTCTGTTGCTGATTATATGAAGATGAAATTGTTGTATATGCTGATCTGTATGTTATGTACATTTCCACAGTGATTGAATCATTGTAAAAAGAAAAAAAAGACAACAAAGAATCACCACTATTTTATGAAAATGATAAAGCAGCTTTATTAAATTATTACAGTTATGTTTTAAATGGTGTTATCTGCCACATTGTTTCCTTTTATCTGGTGGTTCTCTGTTTCCCCCTTTAATGTGTTTTCTCTGCTTCAAAAATTTAATGCATTTTAGTATTAAAGGCTATTATGGAAAAATTGTTGAGTGTTGGGTGAAATGTGTCTTAGAGAGCATTGGCTGGCTCCAGGATGGAGTAACTATTAGGCTAAGGAGGTAACCAGCCCTTGGTGGGGTCACTGGTGTTCAGGCCCAAAGGGTTCCTCTTGCATTTTCCACTTTACACCGTTGCCAACTCTCCAACTAAGAGGGGATTCTTCCTTTGACTAGGCTCCAGTCATTTCCTGAGTGCCTCCCCTCCTTCCCACCCCAGTTAATACCATTTTCTGAGGAGAGAGACCCATTCATATCTAGAATGGTAAAGAATTTTCTGGGTGGTACTTTAAACAAGAGCACTAAAACTATTCCTTAAGAATAACCATTTCAGGCCAACTTCACAGTGGGACTTCTTTGAAGAATTAATTTTAAAAAGGTGAGAAGTAGTAGAAGCTGACAGCAGGAGAAAAGAGAGTTTGAAACAAAGATGACCTGGCTGCCCCTTTGATGCCTTCGGGTTTGAACGTGAAGCAACAGGAGAGGCTCTGACTTTGCACATAACGAGGCTGCAGTATAAATCCTGATAATCTTTCTTTATCCAAACTGTTGTTCTCTGGGACTTAGCACTTGGACTGTAAGTATTCATTCTGGCTGCAACTGGCAGGGGAAAAAAAATCCCAGTAGAGTAAAAAAGGGGGCATGGCAGAACAGTTCCAAAGAGTGCCTTTAGTGGTTGAAGACCAACTTGCTTCAGC